ACACAACTAATGCTCAAATGTCAGACTGACGTTCATGTTGCTCCAGCCTCAGATGTGACCCTCTGCTGAAGATTTGTCTTGTGTTTATTTGTTATTCTCTTGTGAAATATGTTTTTCCCCCCTCCCTCCCCAATGTGGCTCCTATCTTTCCACAGAAATAAAAGCAGAGCTATGAGGCCCTCAGCAGCCATAGAAACATGCCAAACGCAACGTTCTGTGCCACGCATTGCCTCAGTGAATCACCCCCCCATCCACAATGTATGTGATGTATGAGAACGGTTTGAACCTAAAATGGAAATGGAAATTGATTGACTGATGTTATTAGCATTCATGAAATGAAAATCTTACATGCATGTTTAAAATCAGGCACCTATAAAATTACTGTAATTTTCCCCTGCATTGGTGGATTTAAACATGAAACCATTAGCGGCAGTATTAAATACACTTGATACGTGTGAAACCTTTATCTGTGCTAAAACAGTTTTGGAAGTAGTGAGGTTGGATTCTCTCTTTCTGCTCTTTATGGTCCATTTATTCCACATTCTAGGCCTGAATCTTGCTGCACAGCAGGTTACTCATCATCCTTTCCGAGGTCTTCCTCGGAAAGGTCTTCCTCGAATGAGCCAACTGATTGGCTGTGGTGATGCATCACATAATCTTTATCAGAATGTCCCCTTTCCCTAACTGTCGAGCAAACCATAAGACTTCCTAATATTTTTTGTTCAACTTTACAGCTTTTTGAATTACAGCCTTATCTATGTGATAATAACCCATGAGTAAGCTGAGACCATGCAATTCTTCTCATGCTAATCAAAGTGATTGCTGGTGGAATACTTTGTCTGACTGGTTGCCTGACTATATGTGATACTTAAGATTGGAAAAAAGTTATGTTTTGGAATCAGATCACAGAAGTCTTACTCATGTCCTGCCTTGAGCTCTTCCTCAGAAAGGATGAACCAACTGATTTGCTGTTGCAACGAACCACAGAAACTTCATGTTGTCATTAGTTCAGCATATCAAGTTGAACTAATGCTTTGATCAAAACATAACCTTACCTGAAAGCATCTTGTACAGCTCGAGCTGAAAATGTTTGAATCTGAGTAATGTTTTCTGAATAATGTAGCTGTATTATGATTTTAGGAGGGAGATACTGCTGTGACCAAAGCAAGAGGTGCTAAGCCTACAACCAAACTAAAATAAACACGGCACTGCAAGAGGATATACGCATAGCTGCTGTTATCACATCTGTTTAGTCAGATTTAATCTATTTAAGAGGAGCAACAACCTTTCATTCACACACATAAGGAGGATTTAGAGAAGCCAATTAACCTAACATCATATTTTTGGACTGTGGGAGGAAGCAGGAGTACCCGGAGAGAACACACGCATGCTCAGGGAGAACATGCAAACTCCATGCAGAAAGACCCCGGGCTGAGAATCGAACCTTGAACCTTCTTGCTACAAGGCAGCAGTGCTACCCACTCCAACACTGAGCAGCCTACAAACTGTATTTAAAAGCCTTCAGCTGATCCAAAATGCTGCAGCCAGAGTTCTGATGAAAATGAAAAAGAGAGATCATATCCCTCCTATCCTGGCTTCTCTTCATTGGCTTCCTGTTAAATCAAGAATAGAATTTAAAATCCTCCTTCTCACATATAAAGCCTTAAATGGCCAAGCTCCATCTGATATCAGAGATCTGATTGTTCCTTATGTTCCTAACAGAGCACTTCGCTCTCAATCTGCAGGTTTACTAGTGGTTCCTAGAATTTCTAAAAGTAGAATGGGAGGCAGATCTTTTAGTTATCAGGCTCTATGAACTGTGTGTTGCATCTCTCGATTTTCATGCTTGTAGTTTTTAAATGTTCTCTAACAAAACCTTAGATTTATCCATTACTCTTTGAACATTAGCAGTTTGGATGATGTCATGAGGCTAGCCGAAATATTACGTTACCATGTAAAGTGTAATAACAAACACTTGGAATACATTAACCATTAATAATTGTAGTTTTTTATATGAAATTGCAATATTTGTAATATGAAAATGATAATTTAATACTAAGACTGGACTAAATAAAAGTTTTCCAAACTGGTGCATAGTTCAAAACACTCCATCAGTTTGTTTGCAAATATATGAGATGGAATACAAAAAAAATTGTACTTTAAAAAACTACAACCTTGTTTTTATTTATTTTTTACATTGCATGCAAACTGAAATGATGCAATGTAGTGCAGAAGGTTAAACCTCACTAAAAAAAATCTTTTTTTTCCCCCACTAGGACGGGGAGGTTTGCTTCTCTATTTGAAATAACTGCAACTGTGAAGTTTGTTCATTTATTAGATGGTTTCATTGGATTTATTTCTTGGTGGTTACGGTTAGGATTAATTAAACAATTTAAAAACGGCAGAAACTATCCTGTAAATGCTGATTGCTCTCTTTACGGTTTCCCTTTTATCTTGCAGATGCATAAAATCTGTGAAACTCAAAAAATTTCCCAAAACTGGATATACAGCTTTTTAACTGCAGCTGGAAAAAAACTTGCATTTCAGTTTATGAACTTCTGTGAGTCAGATGTCAACACAAACGAACTGGGGAGACAAATTATTAAGTTGTAACATTACCAGGTTTACAACATTATTTCCATTTGAAAATAAAAAAGGTGCTTCTTTTAACATCCTGACTAAACACAAAATGCATTCCCTTCATATTGCAAGGAATGCATCTTGCACTATTTACCTTGACTGGAATATTGATCTGCACTCCCCACTGTTTATGTACAGTACCAATTGTTTACAGATGCGTTTGCAATACGGTACTTTAACTGTAATATGCAATTACCTTCACTGCACTTTCATTCAGAAAGCTTCTGTCCAAGTTTTAGTTTTATTTCTTAATTTTAAAGTAATAGCATTGTATATCCTGCACTTCGGGTTAGACCTGAACTGCATTTCATTGCCTTGTAGCTGAACCTGCGCAATGAGAATAAAGTTTAATCTAATCTAATCTAGTCTAATATTATTCTTTTTTAATTGTCGTTCCTGGCTTCATGTTCTTGGGGAAGACTTTACTGTTTGCTTTGCACATTTTTTTAAATGTCGAAAAACATGAGAAAGGTGATAACAGATGCCTCCGTTTGGTTTTCATCGATGGAAATGTTAACAAGAATGTTGTTATTTCTATTAATACCATAGAAGCACAAAAATAAAAAATAGCACAGCTAAAGACACATCTTCTTTTATGTCTGTTACAGCTAGTCACTAGAAGAGGGAAAGAAAATGTCTTTCTAAAGCACTCATAAAGTTATTAAAAATGTATTTCAGCAGCTCATTTCACAAAGTGAAACATGTTATCTAGTATAAAACATACAGATTGACATTTTCAAGGATTAACTTCTGGTGATCGTGAAAGCTTCCTGCTCACAACAAAAATTACACTTAAGTCTAGATTATTGCATCAAACAAAAAATGTTAAATGTGTACGATGGAGTATTAGAGCCAGGATAGAGATTTTTTTTCTTCTTTTTCGAGAATAAAGTATTAACATTAAGAGAATAAAGTCCTAATATTATGAGAATAAAGTTGTATCCCTAAAATGAGGAATGTGGAGCCTCATGTGAAGTTCTACTTTAGCATCGGTTTGACAAATCAGGAAATCTTTTAGCAGCAGCATCAAACTGGGCAGGATGTCAAAGTGGACTCTGGTTGCTGATTGGTGGAGCTGGTCGACCGTCATCTGCTGGGCGGAGCTCCAAGCTCTCTTTCTGAAACGAGTATGATGACTTCATTCTGTTTCAGCTTTATTCTTGTAATTTTTATTACTTTATTCTTGAAATAGAAGAAAAAGAACTCTGTCGTAAATGTGTACAGGAATGTTAGCTTAAAGAAAATAATGTTACCTGCTTAAATGTTGTTTTCAAAAGGCACCTGAAATCTGACACATTCATTAAATATTAAACTGGTTAAATGTGACATTTACGCACTTAAAAAAGAAACAATTAGAGCAAATAAAAAAATCTATACTGCCTTTAGCTGCAGTCCAACCATAAAGTCATGGTTTGCCTCTAGGCATATATTTTCGCAATTTAGGAAAGAAATGCGCCATCATCCAATTAATTTTCACACTCTTTTATTTAGGAGATGTAAAATTAGTTTAGGGACCCACCATATTGGATCAGTCCATTTGCTGCACATGTTCAGAAAGGTCCAAACAGACAGCAGCAAACCATTTGGAAACAAACCATGCAAAGAGCAGTGTTGCCAACTTAGCGCTTTAGTCGCTATATTTAGCCACTTTTCAGACCCCTCTAGCACTTTGATTTCTAAAAAGCTCCTAGCGCCAAATCTAGAGACTTTTTTCTGCTACTGGAGACTTTGGAGACAACATCTAAAAGCAGCGAACTCTGCTCTCCAGAGCGAGTAGATTGGTAACCCCGCCTCCTGCTCTCCTCTATCTTGTCTGCTGTCATGATTCATGCAGCTATTATTTCATCCAAATGAAAAATGGAGAACAGATAAGCAGATCATGGCTTGTCTACAGTGAAAAGAAGGACTGGGTTATTTACTTTGGCCTTTTTGGAAACACAGGAAGGAGCAATCAGCTAAGTGAGCTTAGTGCTTGGAAAAAATCTTTCATTCCTTTAGAGACAGCATGAAAAGTCAGCTGAGTACAAAACATAGAGAGGAAAACAAGAAGAAAAGGGACAAGAAGAGAGGGACACAACCTAGAACAGATAATGGATGTCTATTCTATTAACATTTCTCTATCTGGAGACTGGGGCTGCTTTATGTGTCGTTTTCTCAGTTCAGAGGGGCCCCTGCCTGTCTTTGCCTGGAGCTCCAAATGTCCTAAATCCGCCCCTGCGTCTCGCTCTCTCTCTCTCTCTCTCTCTCTCTCTCTCTCTCTCTCTCTCTCTCTCTCCAGGTGAGTCCCACCTTCTTCCGCGAGGCCAGCCCTTCTCTGATTGGCTGAACCCTGTGTCAGTCACATCCTGCAGCTCTATACTTGAGCTCAGGTGAGTTCTACCTGAGAGCTCACAGCTATCAGGAGGACAGTGGATTACAGCCCTTACCTCCAGCCTCCCTCAGCGCTGTTCTTCCCCAGCAGTCAGAAAGGCCGCAGCGCATCAGACAGAAACAGTTTGTTGATCAGAAACAGTTTTTATGGCAGCGGGAGTAGGACTGGCTATGAATCCGCCTCATATGTCAGAGGAAAGGGCGGTTTTCACACAGCTGAAGCCCGTCAGGATGTCTGGAGCGGACGGTGCTGAGGACACGCCCGTCTTTGAGGACGTCAAGCCGCCGGTGAGACTCCAGACTTTACACGTCTGGCTTTTTATTCCCCTCTAGTCATTTTCTCACTTTCTGTAAACAATCTATGTTGCAGGTTCTGCATCAGGTGTAATATAAGCTTTGATACCTGCTGAATGACCTTTGTTTATTTGCTCTCCTGTAAAATCAGCTCTAAACAGACACCTGCCAGAGTAGAAAGCCACTAATAGATCTGCCAGCCAGTGGAAGGTAGTCACACATTCTATGAAAGTGGCTCTCTAAAGGGGGGACAGGTGGCTGGAAGATTTTATTTGCATTATGTTGATTTGTGCAAAACAGGCTTTGTAATAATTGCATTTATTACAAAAAGTATTTAGGGTTACATGCAGTTAAAAAGCCATTTAATTCATTCCATTTAAGCCCCTATTTAAGGAAGTGTTTTCTTTATTTGTTTAATGATGAATTTGTGGCACAAAAACTGAATGTCGACATAAATCTTGGTTGTTTTGCCGTCATCCCTGAGCTTTAAGCTCATCCAGGGAACAATATCTGCTGCTATTGCTGTAACTCAATGATTCCCCTCTTATAAAGTCATCTAATTCTTCTAGTGGAACTCAACATTTCAGGAAATATCTCACGGCTTATTGTCCACAATCCATGGCAGTGAGAGTCAGAGGTCATCTTGGCCTTGGCCGTAAACACGGACACCTGGTGACAGCAGAAACACGCAGCTGCATTAAAGTTACATGGCTTTACAAAGGCAACATGGCGCAAACTGAAACCGAACCCCTTTGTTGTGCTGCTGAGCTTGGTCACCTGCCCGGTATTTGGTAAACAGTTTGCGAATCCAGACACCTAAGGCTCAATACAACTGGTGCCATGTTGGCAGCGGTGCAGGTTGGCTTTAGCACCTAGAAGAGGTGAACTCCTTGGTGCATTTTAAACTGCTGGAAGGGTGTGCTGTCCTCGATTTTACATGAAATGTTTATGTGCACGCAACACATTTAGGTCTTAAATATCATTGAAAGAGCGACCTGGATCTTTCTGTAAACAGAGAGCACTACTAGTTAGAATGGAGAGCGGCCATTTGTGTCCTAGTTTCTGTTCAATCCAACACAGGTATAGACAGAGTTACTGTCTGTAGGCAGGGGCTCCACTGGGGGCCCCATCAAAGACATTGCTAAAAACATATGCAAGCTTTAAAACTGCTATAAAGATGCACTGAAGAGCATCATTTACATTTTAAGTGTAATTTTCATTGTAAAATTTCTACAATTGAAAATTATCAGAACAGGAAAAATTAAATTAAATTGCATAAACTGGTGGATAAAAAAAACTCGGACGTCAATTTATTCATGCTTTGTTTCACTGTTTACTGTTGAAAAATGAGGGGGGAACAAAAATTATTTATCTAAATACCGGATTTTTCTTTTGATATTTGAAAGATCAATGGGAATATCTATTGGGGCCGCCTTTTGTATCTATGCTTCTCTTTCTGTCTGCTTCTGTCTCCTTGAACCCCAGTGGGCCTCAGCAGATGGCCGCTCACACTGAGCCTGGTTCTGCTGGAGGTTTCTTCCTGTTCAAAGGGAGTTTTTCCTCTCTACTGTCGCTACAAGCATGCTTAGTGTGAGGGATTGCTGAAGAGTCAATGAGTCGATGCAATCAGCTGGTTTTCCTTACATATGTAACACGGGGGAATTACCCGGATTGTGACCGAGGACGTGGCCCTACAGGTACTCTTTGAACTTTTCAGTCATGGCCCACTTCATGGCCAACATCTCAAGTTTCATGGAGCTGTAACTTTTCTCAGCAGCATGCAAGCTGCGGCTGGCATATGCAATTGGTCGTACCCGTCCACTCTGCTCCTGCGACAGCACGGCTCCCAACCCACTGTGGCTGGCGTCTACCTCTAAAATGAAGGGCAATGAGAAATCAGCAAAAGCAAGAGTGGGAGCACTTACAAGCTTGGCCTTTAGTTCCTGGAAGCTCCTTTCACAGTCTTCTGACCACGCTCCTTCCAATAGTTTCCCTTGTCCTCGACGCGTCTTCGAGGCAGGATGTCTGGAAACAAGGCGATGAAGGGGGCCAGCCAATTGAGAGAATCCTTCAACAAACCTCCGGTAATAATTGGCAAACCCAAGGAAGGACCGGAGCTCTGAGACATTGGTAGGGTGAGGCCAGTTTGACACTGCTGCGATCTTGCCTGGATCTGTGGCCACACCGTCCTCAGAGATGCAATGTCCCAGGTACTGAACCTGCTTTTTGAAGAAGTCACATTTCTCCAACTTGACCTTCAGTCCTTCTTGTTTTAGACGACTTAACACCACCTCGAGCCGTGCCAGGTGTTGATCAACACTGGAAGAGAACACAACAATATCATCCAGGTATAACAAGAGTGACTGACCATGCTGAGCCCCAAACATCCGCTCCATCAAACGTTGAAAAGTTCCTGGTGCATTGCACAACCCGAATGGCATTCGATTGAATTCAAAGAGGCCAAACGGCGTGCAGAAGGCAGTTTTTGGGCGATCATTTTCTGCAACTGGAACCTGGTTATAACCACAAGCAAGGTCCATGGTTGTGAACCAACGAGCACCCGATAGAGAGTCCAATGTTTCTTCTATTCGAGGCAATGGGAAAGCATCCTTTCTGGTCTTTTTATTGAGCTGTCTGTAGTCCACACAAAGGCGAAGACTGCCGTCCTTCTTTCGAACCAGGACAATTGGCGAGGCATAAGGGCTACTGCTTTCACGAATGACCTGGGTTGCCAGCAGCTGGTTAATATGTGACTTAACTGCTTCGTACTCAGATGGAGGGATACGCCGATACCGCTGCCGTACAGGAACAGTGTCTAACAGTGGGATGGTATGCTCGATCAAGTTGGTAACCCCAAGGTCGCCATCAAAAGCAGAGAACACAGACTCGTATTTTAGCAATAACGCTCTCACTTTATGCTGCTCTTCCCTATCCAGCATAGAGAGATTAAGTGACGTTATCTTTTCTCCAACCGACCCAGTCTGAGCAGTATGAGATCTGACTGCAGCCACAACTTGCTCCTGTACACAAGGGACTTCCTGCAATTCTGACGGTAAGCTGACCACTTCTACAGGGGACACGACACCCAAAGCACAACGGGGTTTTAGTGAAACGGTACATACCCCTACATTCACCACAGGGACATAAACAGTGCCCCTAAAAACCTGTAGAAGGGAAGGAGACACCAACAAACCCTCAGGTAAGCCAAACCTATCTAACGGCTCAATTAATGCGCCCCCAGCCTGCGTCAACATGGCTGAACAAGTGGCAGGTACAAATTTAGTAGTGCCTGCAGGGACCACAACAGGTCTTCTACCCCGAAGCTTTGCAACACTGGTTTGAATTTGGTCTTTTTGACTCTCAGCCTGTTGACATAGCTGAAAGGCAGGAAGCCAGGAAGTAGGGGCCCCCAAAACAGAAGGGAGTTTAAACAAATCAGGGCCATGCTGGTCAAATAGCTGAAGATAATGGGCTTTTATTATATTCATCCCAATTATGCCTGGTACCTGGGGTAACTTTGCTTGGCATGGAGGGTCCCTAACAACAAGGATCCCTCTTCTGGGGATAACTACCCCACACACCTCAATATCAGGCTCAAGATAGCCCAAGTAAGGGATACTCAACCCATTTGCTGCTCTCAACTCCAACCAATGGCATGCCTTTAGCTTATCTGGAAAATGCTTTTTAAAGAAACTCTCTGAAATGGTAGAAACCATAGACCCAGTGTCAAGAATACATTGTACTGGAACTCCAGATAGTTTCACAGTAACTTCAGGGCAAGGTGCAATTAAACACTCAGCCACCTCATCCATTTGAGGACCCTCTGAGCCTGGACCACCCCCTCCTAATGTCTGGCTCCTAACACTAGGGGGAGTTAGTTTCCCTGCAACTGAGAACTAGTGGTGGCTTGGACCTGAGGGGTACCACTGGCACACGGGGGCTTAAAACGGCCACGAACTGTACAATACCGAGCAATGTGGCCTGGCTGCTGACATTTGTGACATATCACACTACTAGGACTGAGAGGCCTAGCCACCGAAACCTGCTGCATAGCTGCAAGACATTGAGTAATCTGATCCAACTGTTCCTGCTGTTTTTGCACAATTGAATTAAGAGTAGCAAGTTGAGAAGCAACACAACTGGAAGGAGGGTCAGTTAAGGAAGGGGGCACACTGGCACTCTGTACAGCACAAAAGGAGGGGACCACCCTACTTTTATTTTCCACCCCACCCTCACGCTCCCACATAATGGCCTCCGCTCTAACCTCAAGTAATGTACACCTTGGATTATCACGAGCATAACGTTTTAGCTCTCTACGCAGGTCAGAACTACTAACATTCTGAATAAATTGATCACGAAGTAAAATGTCTGCATTTAACACAGCATGGGGAGCACTAGATTTAACTTTGTCCATTAAGCAAAACAATGAATGAGAGAATTCCTGCAAAGATTCACCATCTAACTGTCTCCGTGAAAAGAAGTCCTCCTGTAATGAGACATACGACTGTTGGCAACCATACAGTTCCTTTAAAATGGTGAAAACAGTTTCTGGATCCTCACGTTCAGATGATGACCTATATTTGATCTCATCTCGAGCTTCCCCTTCAAGATGGTCAAAAATGAAAGCAGCCTGATCTGTGGGTCCAACATGGCGGACTCGCATACTGGTGCGAACCTCTTCTATCCAGTCCTCCACCCCAACACCATGAGTTCCTCTGAAGATTGGACATTTTCTCTCTCTTGGTAGGTAGATTATGCGATCAGCCCCCCTGTTCGTCGGAGTGCCACTTGTACTTGGGCCAGCTTGTACATCATCCTGTCGATTTGAACTTGCTAATGCAGAATCCCTCTCCTGCTGCAGACGGCTCCTTTCGGCCTCCAACTGCTGGACTCGAACACGGAGTTCTTGAAGTTCCTCATCCATCGCACCAGGAAATGATGATCCTTGGTCACAGCTTCGTCTATCCAGCTAGGTCCCACGATGTGCTTACTGT